CTTTGTCTTGCTGGCATTGAGCTGAAGGTGGTTGAGCTCACTTCAGTCGACAAAGTCCATGATGACCTGCCTGTACTCCTGTTCGCTCCCCTTAGACACACACCCCACGATGGCTGTGTCATCGGAGAACTTCTGCAGGTGGCAGCTCCCAGAGTTGTAGCAGAAGTCCGAGGTGTACAGGGTGAAGAGAAAAGGGGAGAGAACTGTCCCCCGCGGGGCCCCTGTGCTGCAGACCACCATGTCAGTCCTCACAGTTCTGAAGCCTCACGTACTGTGGTCTGTTGGTGAGGTAGTCCGTTGTCCATGCAGCCAGGTGACAGTCCACTCCCGCCCTCTCTAGCTTCCCCCTGAGCAGTGCAGGCGGGATGGTGTTGAAGGCACTGGAGAAGTCAAAGATCATGACCCTCACAGTGCTGCCGGTGTTCTCCAGGTGAGTCCAGGATCTCTGCAGCAGGTAGATGACGGCGTCATCCACCCCGATGTTCGGCTGGTAGGCGAACTGCAGAGGATCCAGATTTGAAGTCACCAGGGGGCGGAGGTTGTCGAGGACGATCCTCTCCATGGTCTTCATCAGGTGAGAGGTGAGGGCCACAGGTCTGAAGTGGTTAGGCTCCCTGGGGTGAGATGTCTTTGGGACTGGCACCACGCAGGAAGTCTTCCACAGAGTCGGTACCCTCTCCAGTCTCAGGCTCAGGTTGAAGAAGTGCAGAAGAACCTCACAGAGCTGGTCTGCACAGTCCTTCAGGAGTCTGGAGCTGATGCCGTCGGGACCTGTGGCCTTCCTCGCCTTGATCTTCCTCGCCTTGATCTTCCTCAGCAGGAGAGGCCGTCGGAGGAGGAGGAAGAAGAGGAGGAGGTTGTTGGGGGGTCGTCTGAGGAGGAGGAGGAGGAGAGGGCTGTTGAGGGGGGTGGCAGGGTACTCAGGGTACTCAGATGGAGTGTCTGAGAAGCGGGCTGGTCTGCGCTCTGGTGGGTGGGGGTGGGGTTGGGAGCAGAATCAAATCTGTTGAAGAACAGATTCAGTTCATTTGCCCACTCCCTGTCTCCTGCTTCAGGGCCCCTCCCACGCCTTCTGCTGTGACCTGAGATGTTATTCAGGCCCCTCCAGACTTCTCTTGCATTTTTCTGTTGTAATTGCTCCTCCATCTTTGCCCTGTAGCTGGCTTTCCCCTCCTTGATTTTTATCTTGAGCTCCTTCTGCACCCTCCTCAGCTCCTCTCTATCTCCAGATCAAAAAAACCCTTCTCTTTTCATTGAGCAGGGTTTTCAGCTCAGGGGTAACCCAGGGTTTGTTGTTGGAGAAACACTGTATTTTTTTGGTGGGTACAGTGATCTCAACACAGACGTTTATGTCGTCTGTGATGCAGTGAGTTAAACCGTCGATGTCCTCCCCATGTGGGCTGCACAGCACCTCCCAGTCAGTGGTGTCAAAGCAGTCCTGCAGCGCCTCAGTGGACCACCTTAGACCACTTCTTCACATACCTGGTTGTGGGGGGGTTGTTTTTTCACCATAGGTATGTAAATGGGCTGCAGTCTCACCAGGTTGTGGGTGTTTGCATACAGTAAGTCCAAAGTTTTATTGTCCCTGGTATGGCAGTCAACATACTGAGTGAAAGTAGGGAGAGTGGCAGACAGGGAAACGTGATTAAAGTCTCCTGAGATGAGAATAAGAGACTGGGGGTGTGATGTCTGTAGCTGATGTAGCTGAAACAAAATTAAATGAAATAATTTCCTATGAATCTTCTTCAGTCCTCTCTTTCTTAAATTATTCATATTATTATATTAAGAAATATTTGCTTAAGGAATGAAAACCTATTTGAAGACATCACATTTGTCTTAGGGAGACGGGCTAAAAAAAAAATCTCAGTTATCATCCTTATTCCCAAGTCTTTAAAGAATAAATGAGTGAAAATAATAATTTGTAGGTAGTAGCCATAGAAGAACACCTTATGATGTTTGAAATAGATATTCACCTGTAAAATAAATAAAGTAAAGTGTTACCAGTTAGAGATTGTTTTCATGAATGGGAAACGTTTTTAGACAAGCGGAAAAAATTAATAGATAGGAAAACACATTTTCTTAAGTGAACAGGAGAAGTACATAGTACACAGTGTTCCAGACACTGAAGGCAATTGACAATTATTGCAGCGTGACCTGACATGATGTGTATAACCCATATCGTGACCTTTCAGGTTCAAATGTCATTATTTGCATCAGAGTTTCTGTCAGTGTGTTTTGGCAGAATGGTGCTGTTTATGTGCAAACCTGCATCACAGTCCTCGTGTATACATCCAGAAAAGTATGTGAGTTGAACAAACCGTCCCTCTTCATTAACAGCCATGCTCCAGTTCTCCACTGTACAAACTGAATGGTGTGAGAACAGCCCAGCTTTGTGCAGGAACCAGGTCAGCTCAGGTCACATGTACATTCATACCACCGGTGTTGTGGTGACTCTGGTGCCCTCATCTGGCACATCCTGCACCTCGCACGCTAATGTGCATGCACTGTTAGATGGGGCAGATCCTGTGATGAGTTTGTGGTTCTCTCTTTCTAAATGAAGTGCCAGCTCTTTATAATTAATTATAGTAAAGTTGTATTGAGATAAAATGTGATGATGAGTTTTCACATTTAAACACAAACACTACAGCTCTCCGAAAGGATCGGTTGCCTCAAACTATGAACAGGAATTAGTGTTTTAATCTCTGTCATCTGTCCTTGGGGTTAGCAGGATAATCCACTCTCAAGCCTGCAGTCATACAAACATGACACAGTTAATAATGATTTATGACTGTCGTATTTTTATACAGATACTCATATTGAGTCATAATGAAAGAAGTTATCGCTGCCATCGAGCCAGACCTAATATCTGTTGAGTCATGTCAGTGGGCAATCTGGGCCCAATAGAAAAGTTATATTCTCATTTCACCTCAAATATTCAACGTATCGACTGCCAATTCAGTAGAGGGCAAACTTTTCAAATCTAGGACCGGGTCGTATCAAAATATCAAATCGGTCTGCTAAAGCTCTAGGAATCACTTTGCTGCGTTTTAGTGCAGCATCAGCTTCTTAACTCAGCTTGTCATGGACAGAATATGCCACTAGTAAGACTGAAAGCAGCTTCTAGGTCAGTACAAGATATCACAGGCTTCTTTCGAGTAGTTTTCAGGATGTCAACAATACGGAACTGACAAAAAGACATCGTCTTCCACATTATGTCCAGAACACGCACTCACTGTTTCCTGTGTTAGTTTGTTGAACATAATCCATAGAATAAAAAGTATCTTCAAAATACGTTGTAGAGAGATATGAGTGCCTATAAAACATGTGATGTTGATCCATCAAAGAGAAGTTATGACCTATGGTGTTACACTCCACAACAAGCCAAACAACTATTACTCTCTATATGTATTCTTTCTTTTAACTTTTCATTGTGCTCCCAGATAAGTTAGGAATGCATTTTTGTAAGGTTGCAAATATAGAAAAACAGATCCATAAAAAATGACAGTGTTGATACCAGAACCATCGAACAGAGAAAAGCTCCTATGTGCTTTACCTTTTCTCTGCATGATGTCACTGAAACTGACAGTTTAAGGAACAAAAAGAGGGAATAAGCTGAAAGACAGCCATGAAAATTGTTGACTGCAATTTAGCCTAAATTCCTTTCAGAGGTCTTGTAAGTCTCTTATAGTCAATTAGATTTGTCTTTCACGTTTCCTCTAATAGATGCAGGGTTGTAGTGGTGAGCAGAGAACAGGACACTGGCTGTTTTATTATCTCTGTGTGATCTATATTTATAATGTCATAAAACATAAATAGGGTCAAGGGGGTGACACCTATGAAATGGTGTATGAAGATAGTTTGTTTCCTGTGACTCAGTCCTACATCTTTACTGTGCTGAAACATTTTTAAACTGGAGGAAAGGATACAAAAATATATAGTCAAGACAATACGTCCTTCAAATAACCATCTCCAAACTCAAGCTAAAATGCTAACATTCTAAATAAAAAAAAAACTAAGATTTTAAACTAAGATTTTAGTAATTGTAAGAGAAAAAAAATTGGTATTTTATCAGCCATATGTAAGCATGCTTGAGGGCTTTTTATGCCTTTATTGTACAGATAGGACAGTGGATAGTGTCGGAAATCAGGGAGCAGGTAGAGATTGTGGAATGACATGCAGGATAGGAGCCACAGGTCGAATTCAAACCCTGGCTGCCCGCTGGAAGGACAACAGCCTCTGTAAATGGAGTGCGGGCACTAACCACATACTTCATCGGCACATACCCGCAAAAATATTGAGATGAAGCTATACTATGTTTTATCAGCACACACTGGTAAAACTCAGAAAAGTAATATTAGATAGTAATGTATGAGAGCATTTATAACAACACAGACAGGGTAGACGTGTCGATCCCTTCACAAATGCAGGACACATGTTTCAGCTGTCAGTGGGCATAAGTTAAGTTATTTATTTATTGAAAATATTTGAATTGTTCACCAGTTTAAGACTCTCCAGGTATATGTTGCAGCCATTCCTTATAGCTGACAGATAGTGTAATTTAACTCCTCTATGAATTAAACACAAACAAATAAAGAAACCTTTTAATTACATAAGTGGACGAACAGTATTGTAATGAATAAAATGTGTGGAAATGCAAAAGTAGAATTATTTTTGTAATGATTGTTTTCTTGCATGTACACATACAGGGATACAGGGACAACATTCAAACGACAACTGTAGGGTTATATAACAGTGTGAATGCAATGTTAGATTTTACTGGACAAATATTAATACCCCCCTCGTGTCTGTTTCTCTCTTCCCCTCCAGCGTTCTTTTGCTTCCACTGATGTCCCGCCCACCTTGCTCTTCCCAGCCAATCAACACACAGATCCTCAGATGGGTGTCTACTGAAGGGGACGCCGGCGAATGCTGAGCAGGCTGGCAAGGTCGAGGGCCGCCTCGTCTTCCTGTGATTGGCTGCCGGACAGGACTGAGGCACCATGGAGCCAATGTCCAACAAGCAGGATAGCAATTCATCAGAGGGAGATGAGAAAGGGTGAGACAGAAACAGAGTGTGTGTGTGTGTGTGTGTGTGTGTGTGTGTGTGTGTGTGTGTGTGTGTGTGTGTGTGTGTGTCTGTGTCTGTCTTTGATGTAAACATGAAAGGAAAGCAGAGATTAACGATGGATTTGACAGGAGAAGGAATAGCTGCAGGCATAGACGGATTGATTGATGGATGGATGAAAGAACATCCAGAGGTGCAGCAAAACAATCTCAAATCATCCAAATCCTCACAAACAGAGACAAAGCACATCGTTCACCGTGTATACACACTTCTCATGTAATAGAGTGAAGGAATTCATAAAAGGATGACAGACTCATCATTCGGTGGATAAATGCTTTATTGACAGGCAGAAGAGAACATGAACAGATGATTAATAAGAGATAAAGGAAAAGGACGTTGTCTTTTGCTGAAACGAGGGATTGATGGCACAAAGGGATACGGAGTATAAAGTGTATTTTTAGGAGACGGTAAAAGTATATGCAGATCAATCCATCACCCTGCCATCTGTGTACTCTCCTGTTCCCAAGCACGTGTAGTCACACACACTAAACACACACACACACACATACGTGCACAAACAAAAACGGTACATTCCCTTCCACCCTCCTGTCAATCTTTAGTTCTGAAGAGTCTCACGTTGTTGTGAATAAATAGTTTATCATGTGCACACAACAGAGAGGCTTCTGAAATCTAAGAACATTTTAGAAGCCTGATCGTTATAATGAAAAAGAAAACGTATTCTTATTTCAAAATCACTGCACTGATAGGACCTCTTTTTTTTTACAAAATATTTATTTCAAATTAAGCAGATCATTTTATTTCCAAAGGGTCATTTTCAAACTGTCAGTTTTCATTTCACAGTGGCCATTTGATTTGAATGATCAGTGGAGGAAATCTTGATAACTTACCTTTAATCAGCTGAATCCTTTCACTTTAATATGTCTCTGTGTGTGTGTCATTGTCGATGCAGGAGAACTACAATGCAGGATTTGAACTTAAATAATCGAGTCACAAAATGACTTAATAGTGTTCAACATTTACACGTTTTTTTACCTGAAACCAAATTATCAGCAGATGTTTGTCAATTCTTCCAAACATATAAACCTTGTGATTTGTTTCTCACAGGTAAAAAAACAAAAACTTGAGATTCCTGTCGGCTGATAAAGAAGTTTTGTGGGTTGTAGGGTGTTTACTGCATTCAAAACTCAGGGGCGCCCCTGGTCCTCCTCAAAGTGCGATGGGTGATTTGACAGTTCAGTACAGCACCTTGACTGTAGGATAGGATAGGATAGTACTTTGTTGATCACCAGAGGGGAAATTCGGGCGTTACAGCAGCACAGACAAGAAAGCTCAAAAATACACATTAAACAGAATAGATAAGATGAATAAAAATAAAAATAAAAATAAAAACGGGGTATATACAGTACAAAATGAATGATGAAGTTAACTGGGGGGAATTGAGAATTGAGACAGTATTTGCATCTTTCATTTCTTAATGCAATTCCAGCTGTACACTGATATGATGGCAACACTGTATCGTAATCAGTGCAAACAAACAACTAAAGAGGAAGAAAATTGAAAGGAGGAGAAGATGTTACATTCTTTCTGCTATGCTGCTTTACAGGCATGTCCTGCACAAATATCCGACTCCTCCTGAATTGACCCTATCAATAATTTTCTCCTTAAATTATAAACACCCAAGCAGACCTCCGTATGCTTGTTCAGCCTGCGTTCATTTGGGACAGCTGTGAGCCTCAAAGACTCCAAACTTCATCAACTTCACTGATAGACCTGAGAGTCACAAACTTCATGATTAAATGTGCCGTTCTTGTTTTGTGTCTGCAAATCTCTCCATATGCGTTTGCTCTTCCTTCCTCTTTCCCCAGCACCGTCAGATACATATAAATGTTTTTTCATCAATATTCAGCACTGTCATGTCTTGGTTACAGCATTGTGATGGCTGACGTATTATAGAAGTACAAAACGTTGACAATAAACAGAAAAAAATCCAATTAAAACTAGTAATTGACACAAATACAATTCACACTAAGGCATTAAGAGAGAGACAAAGAGGTCATAATCACACAGTCAGGAACAACAAGTTAATAATCTGATATTAAAGACATGTAAAACCTTTTAATACAACTAGAGTTTCTAAGTAGAAAGGCCATGCATGATTAAAGGTTGCTTCTAACAGAATTACAGTAGAAGTACATACATGAATATTATTTTGTTGGTGTGCTTTATGTCATTCTCTCATGTTTAAAAACAAAGGATCACGATGGGAATCTTTGATTTCTGGTGACCATATGGCCTTTTTGGAAAAAGAACTCTGGATGTTTTTTATCTTGTATATGTACAGTATATACAAATGGAATCAGCGCAATAGTAGCATCTACGTAACTGGAGAGATAATTCAGCTTTAACAGAGGCTTCTCTGGTTCAGCTGCCAGATCATGTGTCTATAGCCTTGTTGTGGGCAGGTGATTTTACGTTAGTGGATATGTAGGTGTAGAAAGATGTTTGCATGTATATACACATGCAATGTCAGCTGTGTGTGTGTGTGTGTGTGTGTGTGTGTGTGTGTGTGCGTGTGTGTGTGTGTGCATGTGGATTAGTGAAGTGGAGAGAGCTGGATTAGGAGCACCGAGGGCAGCTGTAGCCACAGAAAGAGAAGGACAGCTCAGGACGCGGCAATATGTGACAACAACAGCGGATTGTCGCTTTGTGTTTGTGCGCATGTGCGTGTGTATCTGTCTAACTGTGTCATTGAGCATTCACGTGTTCTTGGGAGCGCTGCCTCATGGAACCCTCCCCTCTTTGATGTCTGAGTCATGTAGCACTCGTTCACACACACACACACACACACACACACACACACACACACACACACACACACACACACACACGGGTGCACACACAGATGTAACACTTCGCATACCCTGGAGTAGGGGATACCAAAATAGAATTTGGAGTGTGTGTGTCTGTGTGTGTGGCTGGGTGAGTGTCAGAATTACCTGCAGCGGCATGCCTCTGAGCTTTTGAGGACATGATTGGCTGTCAGTGTTTACTTTTGATCGACCTCCGAATAGAGTAAATGTAACAGTGGTCACGCTTGTGGTTTCATCTTTATATAAATCTTATCCTTTAAAATCCCTTAAGGATCCACTTAAAGGTCTTAAAATGATCCTAACTTGGACAGCGTTCAAGCTGGGGTGAATTCATTATGTAAGTCCAGATAACGAAGCATCTCATTAGGTCGCCTTTTAGTGGCATCATAGCCCTTTATCACCTCTGCTAACACTTTTCATGGAAACGCTTAAAGGCACAGTATGTAAATTCCGACGCCAGGGAGCTCTCAATCAAAACAATAACAAGAGATGACGTTAAGGTTGGCGGGGATTCATGGAAGTGATTCTCTCTGCTACTCTGCCCCCACCCCCAACCCAGATGAAAAAGAAGTTGGCTGTAGTCAAGACGAATTGGCAAAACAGACCTGAAGAAGAAAATATGTTCACAGACGAGTTAATGTATCTAAGTATAATTAACATTATTTTATCACAGCAACAGTACAGCAGCTTTCAGTAGCAGTTCCTGATTCCTTATGTAGCAGTCTTTGGCCTAAGATCCGGTTTTCACACAGCAGCGATAAACATGTAGTGTGTCATGGCCACCACTGCAACAAGACGTCCCGTTACAACTATGAAATTAAGGATTTCTCTGGCTTTAATAACTGATGGAAATAGTTGAGGTTATGTAAGTACTCAACAACAAAAAAATATACAATATAGGTTTAGTTATTTTGTGATTATTTAGATATTTTAGTGTAAAATTCTACATATTGTATCGTTAAACACTAGCCTGTGAGTCAGCATAGTTAAAATGTTGCAATATATCTAACTGGAACAAAAAAAAAAATGTTTTCCCACTTTTAACAAATATATTTTCAGTTTCTTTGTCTGACTTTAGAAACAGAAATGATCTTGTCTTAGCATTTTCCATGTCCTTAAAGAACGCTTTGAGTTGAGTTCATCTTACTTCATCCGTAAATACAACAGGGTATTATCTGTATAATGTTGCATTTTCTTAATTGTTTCCTGGTCATTTAATCTACAGTACAGGAAGCATTAATAAGGGTGGATTAAACTGTTCTGAGCGCATAACCTTGTCCTAACTTTGGTGTATAAAACAAGATCGATGTAATAAATAGCATTCAAACCAGCTTAATACAGATACTGTGATGCCAATTAAGTGTTCCAGTGTCCATAACAGGATGTGATCAATTGTATCTGATGCCACACTAAGACCTAACAGACAAGCAGGGAGATATCCTCTGTTAAATTATAAAGGCAAGGCAAGTTTATTTTTATAGTACATTTCAGCAACAAGGCAATAACAAGTGCTGACATAAGGAAAAAGAGACATTGAAACATTACATATAAAAGTCTGTAGATTAGGGGCGCTGGTGGTGCAGTGGTTAGTGCGCGCGCCCCATGTATGGAGGCTGTCGTCTCAAGCGGTCGGCCCAGGTTCACATCCCACCTGTGACTTCTTTCCCGCGTGTCGTTCCTCACTCTCTCTCCCTGCTTTCCGACTCTATCCACTGCCCTATCTCTCCATTAAAGGCACAAAAAGCGCCCCAAAAATAAAAAATTAAGATTATTTAAAAATCAGTAGATTAATGTGAAATATGTTAATATATAGGATTTTTGAGTGTAAAGGAATATATTTTGAATGTCTGAGGTTGACTCATTCACCTGAATCAATAGCAGGGTTTTCAGAAGGGGTTTATTTGCAGCTTTCTACGAACCCCAGACTGAGGTATGTAAGTTCCCATACCATATGCCAGAAAAAGTTAAAGGGTGTGCAGTGTTGGGGACACACACGCCGAATCTTGGTGTTCATGGGTTACTTTTAATGACAGCTGTCCTTTTCCCCCCCCCCCAATATAATGGTAGGGGAAACACTGGTGTGGTTAAAATAGTGTGGAC